CGGCGCTGCGGGACCAACCCAGCAGCACCCCAGCTGCTCTGCCCCAGGCGTGTCCGATTCAGCCACTGCTGGTCAGTTTCAGCAGCGGCTGAATCTGGACGCCAGTTCCGACTTACATACAGATTCAACTTAAGAACAAACCTACAGTCCCTATCTTGTACGTAACCCGGGGACTGCCTGTACTTAAGTCCAAGTTTTAGGCACTCCTGATTCACAAAACCTCTGCTCTGTTGCAACCTGTGGTCATGTAAACTCACTCAGTGCTTGAATTTTTACTGTAAAAGTTCCCTAGACATCTGCATTTCCGCTTGTAGGCGTGGTACTGCTGCCTCACTCTAGGAAGCTAGATCCCCAGTGCAATCCACAAACCAGCAAAAGACAGGTACTCCTCCACCCAGCAGTGGGGCCTGATCATGTTACTTAAATAGTCACTGTGACAGAGAGAGAACCTGAGATAATGGCTAGATTCTGGTGATTGGAGCACCTACATGGGAGATTGGAGACCTTGGGTCCAGTCTCCCAATTACAATGACTAATTATGTATCCAAAATTGATAGCTTTAACAGGAGAGCCTGATGGTAACCTACATCCAAATATCCCCCTGTGAAGTGGTTAGGGTACTGTCCTGAAAGGTGGGAGGCCTCCTGAGTCAAATCCTTTCTCCCTACCAGGCAAAAAGGGGACTGGGACTTCCCCCATCTTGGGCGAGTGGTCCAACTACTGGCATAAGAATAATAAGGGAATTGTCATCTCCTCTTGTGCTTTTTCAAAGAAACAGTATAGGTACCTCAGCTGCCTGACTTCAGGAGCAGGGTTCCCAGCTATGGGTGGCAAACAGCAGTAAGAACCTCCCTTCAGCTGGGTTAGGCATCTAATTCTGTGGAAAGGGTGGAGTTCAGGCCCCATCTCTGTCATCTGTATCTCCCATTAGCTAGTCCAGAGGACTTTCTCCCTAGCATGCTTGCTTTTCTGAATAGAATTCTTAGGTGTTTCTGAGTTTGCCACCCCACATTTTCAGTTTTCAAATGTGATACAGATGTTTATGTTGACCATGCATAACTATCACAACAGATGTCAAAGGAAGCTGGAGGTTTTGGTCTGAGGGATGAGAGCAGCTGGGGATTTTGGCATCTAAGAAGGCATGGAAGGGAGTTTGGGATTTACATATTAGCTATATGTTTCTGTGAAATCATCATCAGAGAAGTAACAATGTTAACAGTGAAGGAGCTATTTTTAGGTATTAGCGCTAACACAACATTGTAATGAATGGGGAAGTTCACACTTCTCAGATCATTCATTTCAGGCCCCCTGAAGACTCAGGAAAAATAATGCTGATTGCTTTATATTCAGTTCATATTTTCTTTGCAACTGAGGGAGAATCATTTTTTTAAAGTTTTGTTTCTGGAGAAAGAGTGCATTCTGCAACAAATCCCATGGGTCCTGAAGCATGGATTATGCAGGCTCTGCTAATCTGCCTCAGTTGTCTTTCTTCAGATCCAGACCATCTGAAGAGAGAACTTCCAAGAAATCACTATTTAAAAGTACTTGAAAATTTGGAAAAGCCAGGGAGAAAAACCTATGTTTTTTTCTTCCTCTTCTGTTACAGCTTCCACTTTAAAAGCTGTTCCACAAAATCAGAATCAGGATCCACAACAAGCTCAGCCAGATAAATCAGACATTTCTAAGGTATATTCCCACCTTCCTCTTTCTGTTTGTCTCTTTTCCTTGCTGTTTGTTTTCAGATAAGTGTAGTATAGCATGGTGTTTGGATTGAGATAAGGTATACCTGTCCTGTGATTGCTACCACAGGAAAGGGGTGAATAGATTTCATTAGACTAGCATCATCCTGCAGAGGCTGCAGCTGCTTGAGAATGTTCTCCAGCTGTGGACACCTAGGAATAAGAAATAAAAGGAGGAGGCAAAGGCTACACATAAATTTTGTTGTTATTACTACTGCAGGAGAGACTGACTGGTTCTGAAAGAGGTGTCAGGCTGTTGAGCTCTAAGTTTAAAGGTCAGTAGCAGTAGCTAGTATTCTTGGGTAAACTATCAGTGAGGAAAGGGTCTATATGGATTCAAATGGTTCCTGAATCAAAAAGGAACCTTTCTGCTTTTGCCTTACAGTAAGAGAAGACTCATTATTTTGGGATGTGCCTACAAATGAATGTTTTAAGTACCTGTGATAAGTGTCTGCATATAACAAGAAGCAGAGCTGGGATGGGGAGAATTCTTGAGCACTGCTCAGTTTTAATGGAGTTATTTTATATGAAAAGCCTGGTTGCTGGCAAACAAGGCACCCTTAGTCATTGGGGTTGCTAACTCTCCAGGTGTGACCTGGAGTCTCCCAGAATTGGCATCAATTGTCTGTTGACTACTAAAAACAATCTTTGAGCTTTTAATAGGCATTTTAAAGAAAATGACACTGTCATGGGGGGGAGGTGAGAATCTCCTGGAGTAGCTTTGGTCAGAGTTAGCAGCCCTATGGTAAGTATACTAATTGCCATGATAAGGACCCTGTGAAGTAAATAATTAGAACTGTTTCCCTTTTAGAGTTGGAGAAACGAAGATAAAGTGAAAACTTAAACAAATAGTCAAACAAAGACTAACAAAACATGTAGGTGATATCATGAGCTTTGGTGGGCACAGCCCACTTCTTCAGATGACTGGAGGGTTGTCTGTTGCTAGAGCTGGGCTTGGAATGTTGTGGTAAAACTTTCAAAAGAACCAAAGTGACTCGGACAGTGTAAATCTCCCTTGTCAAAATTTGCTTAAATGTGTTAAATGCTAAGTCTCCTGAATCAGACTACCACAGTTCTAGAGTTATTCATTGTAACTTAGCCCTGTTATCCAGAGCCATGAGCTGCTCAGTCGGCATGTAAATAACCATGAAAATTGCTAACTGGTTAAATAGTTACATTATTACTGGTTAACTGTTGGTGGATAGCAGCTAGGGCCAGACACTCACTCAGCCGCTTTTCCAGAAAAACTTGCCAGCTGTCTACACTGGCCACTTGAATTTCTGCAAAAGCACTGACTTCCTACTGTAAGAAATCAGTGCTTCTTGTGGAAATACTAATCTGCTCCCATTCAGGCAAAAGTCACTTTTGCGCAAAGCTTTTGCGCAAAAGGGCCAGTGTAGACAGCTCAGATTTGTTTTCCGCAAAAAAACCCCTGTCTAGATTGGCACGGACGCTTTTCTGCAAAAAGTGCTTTTGCGGAAAAGCGTCCGTGCCAATCTAGACGCGGTTTTCCGCAAAAAAGCCCCATCAACGGAAAAGTTTTCCGTTAAAAGCCTTTCTGGAAAATCATGCCAATCTAGACGCAGCCAATGATTACTGGGTAATGGGTTAACCTTTTACATCCCTACTGCTTAGAGTTCTTTCCAAAATAGAAAGAGTAGTTTTACGGGTATTAAGCACCAAACCTGGGTGGCTGTAGGAGAAGTCACGAATCACCCATCATAAACATCAGAAAAAATTGCAAACTTGCAACCCTGGCATTGAACTTCTGTGTTCAATGTCATGTCTGCAAGGAAGAAGGCTGGAAACAGAATTTTCACTTTCAAACGAAGCTTTTCCTTGAGACTTAGCAGGTTCCCAAACTGAGTGGGAAGGAGTCAGGGGCAAGAGCATGAGTGACAGGCTCCAGAGGCCAGCATGTGGGGGGAAGCCTGTGGTAAGAGCCTGGTTTTTATCTCTTCTGTCTGACTGTAACAGTGTATGCTAGAACTGTGCCAGAAGTGAAGGATTCTCACAATGAAGGTTTCCTCCTTGAGGCTCAGTTATTTACTATGGGGGCAGTGGGGTTTGGGACTATTCCAGGATGGGATGTCCACAGCCAATTTGTCTACTCCCTTTCTACCTGAGAAATGGCCAATAAGCAGTCACTAAAGGCAGTAGAGAGGGAGAGGAAAACTGCCCTTTTCTGATTAAGGTTAGAAGCACCTAAACTGGTCATTAAATCTTTAATTGCCTCCTTCTCCAACTGCAGGGAGCAATTAGAAATATGCTAATTCTGTCCCAGTAAACTCCTAGTGACATCATGCAGCCCTGCAATTGGCCTCACCCCACCGTAACAACACAGAAGGGAGACTTATCTTTCGTTATCAGCAGCAGGGCATTGGAGAGCGGCACCTAGTGCCAACGTTGAGCTGGCAGTCTCTGGGACACCTACAATCTCTTGTTTTGCTTATTCACTTTTTGGAGGATGAGTTTACATTAAAAGTAGGTAACTGATTATCTTCCAGTGCAGTAATATTTTATACGCTGGGCACAAGTAGCCAGCTCAGGAGCTGATAGAAGGTCATTTGAGTGACTTCGTTCACTGTAACACTGGGTTTTCTTTCTTACTTGCTTCAATTACTGCTTTAGCTGTAGTTACTCATTGACATTGATTAGATCACATTGTTCTCTCCAGGCTCTCATGCTGTTCAAACTTACTTTTTGCCATGCACCAATTACAAGGTGATGACAAGACCCTTTACAAAATTCTGGTGTCTCTAATAATATTTTTAGAATTTTCTCTCTCCTTTCCCTCTTCCATTTTCCCCCCTCTGTCTGCATCACTGATGTGGTTCAGAGTTAGTTATAATAGCCTTTCGTAAGATTGACGTAACCAGATCTGACCTGATTCACCAGTGAGCAGTGACTCATCCTGCTACTGAATCAAGAACAGACAATGACAAATGGTTGTACAGAATGAAATCTGAGACTCACTGAGAAGACCCATCCTGGACAGATATTTACCTTTGACAGACACCCGAGGGATTTCTGTCTTCTAATACTTTGGTGATACGAATGTAGCTTGTGCCAATATGTATTTAACAAAGTGAACTGGTGTGGTAGAGAACTACATGATACAACTTCAGAGAGAACTGCATTTAAAAAGACAGGATTAGAAAATTATTTTTCTCAATACGATGCCTTTTCTCTCTTCCCCCTCCCCCCAGTTTATAACTTGCTTCTCATGAAAACTTGGGTTGTGTGTTAATTCTCTAACTCTCTGTCTCTTGCTGTACTAAAATATAGGGATCCAAGTCTGTGTTTACCTGTGAGTAGTTCACTACTATTATGCTTGGAGTTACAGAAGGCTCATAGTTTTGGAAGTGTATTGAAGGGCCCACTCTGCCTTTCCATATTTCTAGCCCTGTCCAAGCAATAGTTAATGTCTGCATAGCATCAGGTGCAGAACTGACTTTCAGTGCCTCACCAAATCATCATCAAACTGCTGTTGGAAACAGATGGATTAAACAGCCTATGTAAGTATTATGATTTATTTTCCTATTCAGGAAAAAATATTGCCTTTTTTCAGATCAACAGAAGGGGCGTGTATAAACATAGCGCTGATTTTTTTTTCAATGAGATACTAGTGAGACATTAGTCATAGCCTGTCCCTCACATTTAATGACTTGAGCAGCCATAGCACCATCCATTTTGAGTTTCTCAAGTGCCATGTTGCTCTGGTGCCAGGCACACTGATGAAGGGAGGGCAAAGGGGGCATCTGCAGGGGGGGGGGGCAGAGCTTCTGGCCCCTGCCATTGCTATTGTGGCAGCAGCTGGAGCCATGGGCCCCTTTGAGCATGGTGCTGAGCACTCTCAGCAGCTTTGAATGCTGGGGGGGAGGGAGGTGGGAGAAGAGCAGCGCTTCATTCCTGGGCTGGCTGCCCTGGTTCTGCTGCTTCTGCCCAGCCCCACTGCTTCTGGGGGCATTGAGCTGGGCCCTGTCCCACACCTTGCTCCTGGTAGCTGTCGGCCCTGCTGTCTGGCACAGCAGTCTTCTCACCACTACTCAGTAAATGTCCCTTTACAATTCCACTTCAGAGAATAGAATAAGAAAAGGGCGATACTTTGAAAAACGATTTTAAAAAGCAATAAATGCTTAGTTTTTCAGTAGTCTCCACCATGAATGGAGAAATGTGTCTATTAATGCATGTAGTGTTTAGCCCAGGGGGTTCCAAGGCACTAGAGACAAGGTGGGTGAGGGAATATCTTATTGGACCAACTTCTGTAGCTGAGACAAGCTTTTGAGTTGCACAGAGCTCTTCTGAAGAGATTTCCCTCACCCACCTTGCCTCTATATTAATGCAGTTTGTCATCGGGTGACTTGTGTTGGGCTTGCCAAACTCTAGTTTCAAGAGCAGGTCTATGCAGGGTGAGGGGGAAATCTCGCTCCCCTGGGGTACAGAGCCCCCAGAAGAGTCCGAGGCCGGAGGTCAAATCAGTGAGGCAGGAGAGAAATCTAGAAGGAAAAACTTTATGATGCATGCATGCAGGCTGTCACTTCCAAGAGTGAAAGCAGCCCTGAGTTACAGGTTTTTGGATCCTTTATACAGAATGCTTAGACAGTTCGGTTGTGGATTGTTTTTCTTTAACATATCAAAGTCTCAGCAGAAGTACTCTGAGACTTCTGTTCACCCCAGGAATGCTAGAAGTAAGTTTTACAAAACAAAAGCACATGAGAATGTGGAGTGGAGAAGTCTACAAGGCAAACGGTGACAAAAATAAGGGTTTACATGACAAATTGTAACAGACTAGGAGTATCCATGAACTTGAGATAGGTATTGTAAGGGTCTTGATTAGAGCTAATTTGATTTCTCTCTGTTACAGGGAGAGAGGCCTGGAAAACTTTTTAACCCTTACAGCAGTTTTCTTTTAGAGAGTTTTGATTTCTGCACAGTCCCCCCATA